TGACCTCACGTAGCATGCAGAAAGTGGAGGATGCGATGATCTCGCAGTGCGGCCTGGGCAAGGACGGCGTCTTCATCGACGGGGGCGCCGGCCTAGGCAAGCATCCAGGTGGCCCAGTACCCCGGCATAGCGACCTCCTACGGCATCGAGTCAGAGGACTTGACAGTGCCATCATCGATCACAACGAATTTGATGCTATTTGTGACCATTGATGCTCACAACGAGTCTTATCACGTGTCAAAAAGTGCAAAACATGTAGAAATAAATGGTTGAGCCCGAACACACAATACGTGTTGAAAGTAAGCCAATTCTACTCAGCCCCATCACCTCGTCATACAAACAGGAGTCTGAAACTGATGTAGAAAGATCTTGGAAGGGGGAACTACTACACTGTCACTGCTTTGGCCTGCGCAGACGCTTTCATTCAGGCTGCCGTTTCAGCGACTTGACCGTTGCAGTCGGAAACTTGTCGAAACGCCGAGAGACCCATGCCAGCACCCTCTTGCTCATTTTTCCATATCAGAAAAAAGTGCTTCACATCGAGACCCTTTTTTCCTTCAAAGCGATTAAGTTTTTCTAAAAAAATTGCTGCCTACTGTAGACACTCATATCAATTTTCATGCGGCGTCCACGCAAATGTTAATTTCTCCCTTTTTCTTCTGTCGAAGTTCTTGGGATTTTGGCCTCCTCATGACATTATCCTTCTCAACGACACCTGACAGAACCAAGTTCTTTATTACGCGACAAATTGATCAAGGGAAAATCAGCTGTTGAGCTTCATCATGGAAGTGGCGTTCCAATATTTAAAGCCAAGGGCAACATTTGGGCAAGATGTTCGCCAAGCCCTGCAAGACACTTCAGCAAAAGTGCTCCTCGCATTGCCCTCTGTCCCGCCTTCTCCAACTTTTTCGTCGAAATTTATTCGTAAAAATCCTTGTAGTGTTGGTGTGAGCACGTGTCGGGAGATAGCAGCTCATGTTGTCAATACGGAGACATGTGTTTTGAAAAATGCAAGTATGAGGCACGTAGAGGGCGGTTGGCCAAAAGACGTTGATCACACCGAACAAGCCGACGTGGCGCGCTTCCGAAAGAAAGCGGAAAAAGATGATGAATGTAAGGTAGCATTGAAATTGCTGGGTCCAGTGGTGGCGAGATGCATGAAACAGAATGCCACGATAGATATTTATCAGGAATACTTCGTGGGGGAATGCAGGGAAAAAGAGTCTGGGCGAGACCGGGAGGGAGTCGGAGCCGACTATGTTGATCAAGGATCCTCTTCAGTAGGTGGCGGAGAAATTTCGGGACCGTCGGGAGTATTTCTGAAAGGCGGGGGTGGCACCAACACCACTGTGGGTGGAGCCTATCTCCACGGCAATCCCTCCCGATATTACCAGGAGCATGCCTCCGAGTCTTTCACAGGTAAAGGGCTGGCCGTCTTCCGCGATCCATCTTCTTTGAAACGGCCAATTGCTTCACTCAATTGGCATCCTGACGGACAGGGCAAGCTCGCGGTCGCATACTGTGGCCTCGGCTTTCAGGACCCGCGGTGGAGCAGGTGAGGAGATAGGCGGAAGTGGAAAAGAAGAGCCCCACGATAGCGTGCGTGATCACATCGGACACGCGCCATCTCTACTGCCACTTTCGACTCTGTGTGGAATGTCTGACCCTCCCATCGTCTTCTTTCCGTGTCTATTGCTCTAGCGCCTCCCCGAGGTCTTCCTTCGTTTGGGACATCAACAGCCCCAATAGGCCCGATGTGGAGCTCTCGCCCCCCTCCCCGCTCACCTCCCTCCGCTTCAACCCCAAGGTACCGGACACCCTCCTCGGGGGCTGTCAGAACGGCCTGGTTTGCGTGTTTGACCTGCGCAAGCAAGGCTCAGGCGGGGCTGGAGGAAGCGGGGCGGGGCAGGGAGTGGTGGGCGAGGCGTCTCTTCTGGAGCATTCCCACCATGACCCCGTCCGGGATGTTTTCTGGATCAGCAGCAAGACCGGTCATCAGTGCGTCTCGATCTCGACCGATGGTCAAATGCTTTGGTGGGATACGCGCCACCTAACCCAGCCCACAGATGCCCTCCCACTCCTCCTCCCTCTCGGCCCCTCCCTTCCTTCCTCCCTCCTGGGGGCCACCGCTCTCGACTACTCCCTTGAGGCGGGCCCGACCAAATACCTGATAGGAACGGAGCAGGGGCTGGTCCTTTCCCTCAACCTGCGAAACCGCCGGCACCAGCAGCAGCCGCCCTCATCCCCGTCGCTGGTCTCGCCCACCCTCCTTTCCCCCCAGGCTCTCCCCACCTCTCCCTCCGCTGCCAGCAGCAGCAGCAGTGGGCTCCTCGCCTCCGATCCTTCTCCCCTCCACAAGCACTATGGACCCATCCTCTCTCTCCATCGAAACCCCACCCACCCCAAGTTCTACGCGTCCGTCGGCGACTGGCGCGCCTCCTTCTGGGCCGATGACGTCCGTTCCCCCCTCTTTAGCACTCCTTTCCTCCCCATGCCCATCACGGCGGGCTGCTGGTCGCCCACGCGTCCCTCCTTGTTCTTCTTGGCGCGGCAGGATGGCATGCTGGAGGGTTGGGACTTTTTCGAGAAGCAGGGAGAGAAGGTCTTTTCCCATAAGGTCGGGGATACACCCATCACCGCGCTCGCAATCCAGGGCGGCTCCACCTCCTCTCTCCCGCCATCCGCCACTTCCTCGGTGCTAAGGGCGGCGTCAATGCCTTGGACAGGAGGAAATGAGGCAGGAGGGGGAAGGCTGATGGCCGTAGGGGATGAGGGGGGCACGGTGGCGCTTTTGGAGTTGTGTAGGGGGTTGAGCGAGTGCCAAGCGGGCGAGAAAGCCGCCATGGGGGCCCTCCTCGAGCGGGAGATGAGGGTGGAGAAGAACATGGAGGCGCGGGAAAGGGAAAATAGGAGAGCCAGGGCGGCAGGCGGGGAGGAGGGAGGGCGGGAGGGAGGGAAGACTATGGGCCAGGGGGGAGTGAGAGACGAAGAGCGAGAGGAAAAAATGGAGGAGCTTTTGCGGGAAGTGGACGCGGATTTCTTGTCGATGATCAAGGAGGCGGAGGAGACGGGGGAAGCCGGCTCGGACAAGGAGTGCTGAAGAAAGTGAGGGCATGAAGTTAAGAGAGGGAGGGACGCCCGTTAGCATTCATATATGGACGTGACATACGAAAAAGGGAGGGAGCGCGGAATAATGGCAGGAAAGGAAATCACCGACTTTTCAGACAACGCTCTTTCGATCATCGCCTTCAATTCACTTTGTCTGTACCTTCTTTTTTCCTTTATTGCATGTAAAATACTCGGACAAAGCAAAGCTAAGCATCAATACTTCCGAACGCATCCTCGCGCCCTTTCCCCCTCACTGGCGCCTCGTCCCTGCGCCCCCCCGGATCACCATCTCCCTATTCGCCCTCGTCGCACTTGGCCTACTTTCCACTGCGGAGGGGAAGGTCCCGCAAGTGACACCCTCCGACATGAACATGAAGGTGGTCCTCATTGCATCATCCTTCACGTGCCCTGAGGAGGCGCAACGGCCCCGACGCGCGCTCTACCCAAGGCGACAGAAGACAGTCCTCCATCCTAATCCCCCCCGCCTTCCACCTCCTGCCCTCCCTTTCCTTCCTCGGTCGCTGCCATTCCCTATCAAAATCTAAGCACATCAGTTTGTCAATTTTCGTCGTCTTCTTGTCTCCAGTTTGCCCTCCTAGGCTCCCTTTCTGCCCGCTCCAATCTTTCCTTATCTTATGTGTACTGTACAGTCAATGACAGACATCCTTCTCTACTCAAGCAGTTGCCTCCCACATGGCCTCTCCGCTCCCAACAATCTCCTTGCCTCCTTCCCCCACATCCCTACTCCTCAATGGGCTACCGGACACCCCCCCTCCGACTGCTTCCTCAACACTTTCTCCCCTACCTCCAGCCCTAGCCCCACCGTGGATGCGGCCGTCGCGCCTCCTGGGGAGAGTCGGGTGGCAAGGACGGGGTGGAGGGAGGTAGACTCGTGGGAGTGGCGATCGGGTTGCCGCCTCGAGACCGTCATGCGAAGGCCGCCTGGGACGGAGGGAGGGAGGGAGGACCACTAAGATCGACAG